GTCAGGGAGAAAACGAAAACATTATTATTTCCAACACAATGATTGCAAGCAAAAATTTTATATTGTCTAAAGGAAGTTCAAGTGTATGTTGATTTTACACATAAGACAATCACTATGTGAAAGGATGTGATAAAGGTACCAATATGGTTATAAAGCTTCTGTATTTCAGTAGAAGTGATGGTAACATATATGGGCTTTGAATAGATGGTAAAAAGTTAAGTATTTTATTGTTTTCCTTAGAACACCATTTTTATTTTATTTTTGTAGCTAGGGAAATTTAAATTTATTTTATTTTTATTCCATTATTTTGGGTGACATTGGTTCACAAATCCATACAGGTTTTCAATACATACAACTCAATAAAGCATCATCTGCACACTGCATCATGTGCCCCTTGCCCCAAGCAAAGTCTTTCTCCATCCTCACTTCCCACGCCCCTTTGGCCACCTCCACCTATCCCCAGCCCCATTTCCCTCTGGCTATCACAAAACTATTTATATATATATATATATATATATATATATATATATATATATATATATATATATCTTCACCTTTTTTTTTTATCCAGCTCCTAACCCCTCTCCCCTCTGACAGCTGTCAATTTTAGAACACTAATTTAAAAGTTTTATTAAAAGATATAGTTAAAAGATGTATAGATAAAATGAAATACTAAAAGTACTGGCATTTAGTGGGTAGAGACCAGGAGTGCCATTAATCATCCTACATGGCACAGGACAGTCCTAATAAAGAAATATCCAACTTTAAATTATCTGTAGCTCTAAGGTTAGAAAACCCCTCCCAGGTGGAGAACCTCTGTGCTAACAATGATTAACCTGTATGATGGTTTTCCAAAGCTTTGCATTTTATTTTTATAGAGCCAACTCTCTCTGTACTCATATTTCAATGGTTTCCATATCTATATATATATATAAAAGGTTAATTTGCTAAGTATCCTTCCCTCTGTCTGAATGGTTGCTGTGATGTGCACTGACCACCAGGGGCAGACACTCAATGCAGGAGTTGCTGTGATGCACACTTGGCATTTAAGAGAAACAGTAGCATGGACCTGGCACGGACAAAGCAACATTCAGCTTTCCCCAAGTGGGACACAGGTCCTGCCACCACCCCGGAGCAGCAGCCTACCAAATCGCAACTGACTCCGCCAAGACCCCATGGCGCCAAATGTGTCCCAGATGCAGAAATGGTGGCTGTGGGTGCTGGATAATGACATCAAAAACAACATTCAGCTTCCTCTCCCTAGCAACGACTAGCCTTCTTGAAGTTTCTTCAACTCAGGAACATGACTTGCTTTATAGCCAGGTGGAAACATTTCACACTTCAACCAAAACTTTAAATTTCTCTAGCATTTTCCCATGCCTCATCTCCTTTGATCCTCACAGAAATCCTGGAGTAGGTAGATAGGAGACTAAGTGGAATCCTATTTTCTTTTCATTAGCTGGAAGATGGGGATTTATAAAGCTTAGAAACTTGACCAGACTAAAAAGAAGTTAGAAATGATGGACATTGAAAATGACTTGTTTTCTCACTGTGCAGAATACAGTCAAACACTGCTGCATTTAAATATTTTACCCTTCATTCTCCCTGCATGTTCTATAATAATAATCTGCTTTGTGCTGATATTTCCTGCTGTGTTGCCGATATTTACCTGAAAGAGAAGTTGGAGTGCTCCACTGGGCTGGAAAAAGTTTAGCTATGTCAGAAAGCAGTTCTAAGTAAGCAAGTTTATTCTATTCACCGAGTGGCCAGATTATTATTATCTCTGAACGCAAAATAATCTGGCCACTCAGTATATATAGTAGAGGCCTGGTACATAAATTCATGCATGGGTGAGGTCTGGCCAACCTGGCCAGAGGGAGAGGACATGGGCGATTGGCCAGCTTGCCTGCTGGTTGATTGAACTCCTGGTCTAGGGGACAATTTGCACATTAGCCTTTTATTATATAGCATTCAGAGATCATAATATTCTGGCCACTCTGAATATATAAAAGTTTAAGTTGACTTGTGCATGTGCGATACTTAAAAAGCTCTTGCTGGTGCCAATCACATGCATATGTTTTGATCTGTCATTATTGATTGTGAATTTGGTTAACACTTCTATTATAGAGAAAAAGAAAATAGCAATATTAAAATATTTCTTCTAATCAATTTCCTTTCAATGTGCACAAATTCATGCAGATAAAACTGAATAATTTTGGGTACAAAATAACTAAAAAAGTGTGTGTGTGTGTGTGTGTGTGTGTGTGTGTGTGTGTGTGTAGTGTGGAATACTAATAACAAGATTGCAAACCACCAGCTTTCAGCATGTCATATGTGAGAGAGACATTGGAGGGTATCCCAGATTCTCTGATTTGGTAGAGTACAAGTAGGTTAGAAGAACTTTTACATGTAAATATGTATGTATCTATATATCTACTTTTCTATCTCATTTTATCCTCCAAAAGAGTTTTAAATAATGGGATTATTTAAAATGTATTTTATTAAACTTTTGTAGATCCTTATTACAATTCAATATTTTAAATGAAATGCTAAAGATCTTTAATTCTCTGATGAATATTGTTCTTTAAATTAATTCAATTCAATTATATCAATTTTATTTTGTATAGCTTTACAAATGTAGGAAGATCCATACAATACTTTAACATGTAAGTATTGGAATATTTCTCAAAGTTCACAAAATTAGAAATTGAATTAAATGGAACAGTTGCTATGGAGAGATAATTAAAAATTAACTTGGAAAAGCTTCTAGATCCTGTCTTTTTTTCCCCCTTAAAAATTCCATGGGCAGCCGAAACCGGTTTGGCTCAACGGATAGAGCATCGGCTTGGGGACTGAAAGGTCTCGGGTTCGATTCCAGTCAAGAGCATGTACCTTGGTTGCGGGCATATCCCCAGTAGGGGGTGTGCAAGAGGCAGCTGATCGATGACTCTCTCAACGATGTTTCTAACTCTCTATCTCTCTCCCTTCCTCTCTGTACAAAAATCAATACAAAAATCAATAAAATATATTAAAAACAAACAAACAAAAACACAACTTCTGATGGCTTAAAAAAAATTCCAAGGGCAAGTCATCTCATTATAGTATAATATAGTACATATTGCTCCTCAGGAGCCTCAGACCCTACCCAGGAGGTATCCTGGTAAGCAGATATATAGGATCCTGTTGGAGAACTCAAAATCTGCTTGTATGGATGGAAAGTTAAGAAACTCAGTTGAACTTGTATAGATTAACATTTTCATCGCTTTGAAACTTAACATTTTCAATATGGTAGTTGAATATCATTATTCAAATTTACCTCAAAATTTTAGGTATACGTTGAAAGTATTATGTGCCATTGACCTTGAATATATTTTTGCCTGCTGAGTATTAGATCGTAAATGATCTCATGCTTATGAATCGGGCATGTATGGTGAAAGGATGGGTAGAGAGCATTCATGAATATGCTCAACAGTGGCGGGTGGGGAGCTTTCCTCTCTTTCCCAGATCCAGGTCTCTCTCTCTCTCTCTCTCTCTCTCTCTCTCTCTCTCTCTCTCTCTCTCTCTCTCTCTCTCCATATGGACTATGTCTGTCTATATCATCTATCTATCTATTATCTATCATCTATCTATCATCTATCTATCTATCCATCATCTATCTATCTATCTATCTATCTATCTATCTATCTATCTACCTATCATCTATCTCTATCATATATTATCTATTTCTTTTCTGATGGGCAGACACACTGGCCCTGCTGCTCTTGCCCCTGGAGGCCAGGTGCTTATCCTGGAGAACTAGAGCCCAGGTCTCCCTGCTGAGTGCAAGGGGGCGCGCGAGGTCCCGGAGGAGCTGTCCAGCAGTTCCTGGCTAAGTTCTTCCTGGCTCTCTCGGCACCTGGGAAGCTCTCCAGCGCCCCACCCCTGGCACGGATCCTCCCCTCCAGGGTTCCCGGGGCTTCCTAGGTTTGCTCCCCGTCTTCGCCAGTCTCCCCCTAGCGTGCCTTGGCAGCCCTCCTCTGCGCCCCGGAGCGGGAGTCCTCTGCAGCGCCCGGGGCTGCTCGGAGCGCCTGGCGGCGCAACATCGTTCCTGGGCTTTTCTTCCCTTTGCCTCCAGCGCGGGCGAGCGCGTCTCCTCCCAGTCTTGCCTGCTGTGGCTGTGGGTCCTTTCTCTCTGGCTTTCAAGACACGCGCCGAAATCAAGGGGTAAGAGGAAAGACCACCCATCAACTTAGCGCCTTGCATGCAGATCTTTCCATCCTGAGAGGAGGTTGGCTTCGCCCAGGTTAGCCCGGGAGGACCCGGGAAGGGCGGGAGCTGCCGACACTCTGGGACCCGCTAGACGCATATCGGAAACCTAGGAGCCGGTGCGGGAGTGGGACGCCCAGCGCCGGGCCTCGCCCTCGGCGGTCTCTCCCTCCTCCTCCTCTCCCCTCCCCCTCCTCCTCTCCCCGCCTCCGAGGTCCCGCCCCGCCCTCCCCGGAGGAGCTGTCTCTCCCTCCACAGAGCGTCTTCGGGGCTCTCTCCATTGTCTCTGTCTTTACAACAGGTCTGGGCGCTGGGCAGATGGGCGGCGGGTGCAGGGCTGCCCCATCCTAGGCTATTTTTTGGGGGGCCGCCTCCCTCCTTCTGGGTGTGCGTGCCTTCTGCTGCCTTTATTCCGGCTCGGGAGCTAATCTCCCCGCAAAGCAGCCTCCGAGCAAGTCTCCCCCCGCTCCCCTCTCCTTCTGGGCCCCCTCCCAGCCGGCCCGCTGCCCGGGCTCTGCGTGTGGGAATGGTGTGAGCCTGGAGGGTCCAAGTTCTTCACGTGCCAGGGGGTCCTCCCTGTTCTTTCTTTTTAGGCAACCCAATCGTACTCATCCTGCTAATCCCTACATCCGAGGCAGCGGCAGGAAGGACCAGATCAAGCTATTTTCCCGCTGGATCCCAAGGACCACTTCAATTTTTTTATTTTATTTTTTTATTTTTAAAGAGGGAGACGATGGACTGAGCAGATCCACACCATGGAGTCTCGGGTCTTACTGAGAAGCTTCTGTTTGGTCCTGGGTCTCGGAGCAGGTGAGTGGCCCCGGCGCTGGGCGGGGAGGGGAGGAACGGATGGCCCCCGTTGACTGGGGACAGACACCTCGTTTTTTTCTCTCCGCCCCGTTTTTTTCTCTCTCTTCCCCTGGAGTGGGAAGCCTGGCATAGGGGGCGGCTTTGGGTTGGGATTTTTTTTCCTGAGACGGAAGGAAGGGCAGGTCACACCCCTCGCCCAGGGTCGGAGGGCCCTGGGGGAACTTTGCCCCCAGAGGGGCTTAAAGTAGGTCAGGGAAATGGGACGGGGCGCTCCGCTATTTAGAGCTTTGGCTGCTGGTCTCAGGTGAGGCTCTGAGGGAGCCGCCTCTCCCCAGTTCCCCAATGTGGTTTCCCAGACGCGGTTCTTTGCTGCCCTGGAGGAAGAGGCATGCATTTTGATGGGGCTTTTTTTCCCCCTTTCTTTCCTCCTCCCACCCCCCACCCCCACCCCACTCCCACCAGCTTGGGGGCTCGGTGTGGACCCTTCCCTACAGATTGACGTCTTCACCGAGTTAGAACTTGGCGAGTCCACGGCCGGAGTGCGCCAGGTCCCCGGGCTGCATAATGGGACGAAAGCCTTTCTCTTCCAAGGTAGGAAGAGCTTGGGGAGCCCTTGTGCAGGGTTAGTTCAGAGAGGCCCAGGGATGGCCTCACCCACTCCTCTGGGCCGCCTCGTGGGTGGTAGGCTCTGAGCAGAGATGTGGAAGGGTCAATGGGAAACGCACACACCTAACATCTCTTTGTAAATGGCTTGGTTTTCCTTCCCGCCCGTCCTCCCCCACCCCCTCCTCCTCACTTTGTACTCTTGCCAGTTCTAATGGATAGTGCCTTAATTACTGTACAGAAACTCCAATGGCAGATGGTAGATTTGAGAGTCTGGGGAACAATGAATTATCACAAAAATGCCTCATTTGGGTAAAATTGATTTAGGTAGGAAGGAGGATAGCTTAATGGTCGTGAAGACGCTGCTCTCTCAAAGTTTCAGGTACAATGGTGCCTGCCTAGTTGGGAGGAATTTCTTTATGTGGGTAGCTTTCTGGCAACATGATTACCTCCCAGTCGCTTTATCTATTGTGCATCACAAACAATGTATTTGGGACAAGATTCCTCATGGGAAGATCATGATTCCCCCCCCCCCCCCCCCCTTCATCAATGACAAGAGACAGGGAATTCTATTTCTTGACAATGACTTTGAAAATATTTCAAATAACGTGTTCATTCAAAAGTATACCGGTATAACCATTACCTGTATACTTAGGATTTTAAAACTTTTTTTGAAGAGGCATTGGCACAAGTGTCTACATTTAAACTATATTTAAACGTGTTGTATAGTCAGAAGCAAATTCCAATGCATCAAGCCTCCAGCTTTGATTTACTAAAGCTTTTGAACAGTGCTTGATGTGTGGAAAGACGCTGTAATAGGAGTTTCTAAAAGGTGGCTAACCACTTACGGAAAGATTAGTTTCAGATGGCGAAGGATAGATGAAGGCAAAGGAGAAATGGAGTTCGGTGTAACATATCTGATGGGATGACTAAAGTGCCTTCTCCCTTCCACACAACACCTAGATTTTTCTTTTGTGATTTTGGTGCCATGACTTCAAAAGAAGTGTAACTCATAATTGCTAAAGAGTTAGATATGCAAAATAAAACCATTTCAGCAAATCTGCCACCAAGAAATAGGCATAAAAAAACCCGTGTTTCTGTAGTGGTGCTATTGCCTGATACAGCCAGTAAGTGTCACCATGGACAGTAATACCAAAGCTTACAGTTGGAGGAGGAGGGAGGAAATTGACATGTGTTGCATTTATTTAAAACAAGTATACTTGTATAAGAAATAAAGATGTATTTTTTTTTTCATTAGGGTGAGCTCACTAAATGTTTCTGTGACAAATATTTATAATAAAATTATAGTTTACTTATTTTTATTACTTGAAGGTGTTTTTTTTTTTTTTTTTTTTTTTTTTCTTTTTCTTTCTTTTTTGGATTGGGGCTATATTATATCCTTTAAAAATAATGACCAAATATAATAAAGGAAATAAAACCAGACTGTTAGAAAAATTCAGAGTAAAATAGAAGTATCATTAGGGTTAAGCTTCTTTTCCTTTTCCTTTGTTTTTTTCATTCATTCCTTCCTTTCTTTCTTCTTTTTTTATTTTTTATAACTGCTTTTCAATCCTTGTGAACACAATAGAAAGTTATTTCAGGACTGCTTATTTGTATAACTGGGGAGCTTTACAGAAGCTAACGCTCCTATTAACCAGAGGTGTTTAAGTGCCTTAAATTTTTTAAAGGTCCTTTAAATTATATTGGTGTTCTTCATAGTTTCTTCAGAAGAGTGTCTGAGCTGTCACAAATACAAACTCCAAAACTGGGCATTTTATGTCCTTATGCTAGACAATTAGACAATTTCTCAGAAATAGTTTCAAGAGATCAATATCTTTTCATGATTTATTTATTTATTTTTTAATTAATCATGATTCTTTTTTTTTTTTTTTTTAAAGGAATGTTTACTATTCACTTTTATTTAGATTGCCAGTTCTTCAAGTTTGGTGTTGTATTGCAAATACATATGTTCTTTGAATTGTTCATAATAACTATATACAGTGCACATTGATGAATTGGCTATTTTTGTTTCCTTGTTAGTACCAAGTCCAATATTTAGGGCAGCAATTCTCAACCTTTTTCATTTCATGGCACACATAAACTAATTACTAAAATTCTGCACCACACCAAAAAAATATTTTTTGCTTTCCTGACAAAAAAGTAGGTATACTTTTGATTCAGTCACGCCAGATGGCTATTGTGATGGTTGTTAATTTGACAATCTAAGGGAAAAGAGGTGAGTGCCCCAGACTAAAAAGTTAAGTATGGTTTTAAATTTTTTTTTTATGGCACACCAGTGTGCTCTGTGGCACACCATTTGAAAATCTCTGATTTAGAGTAAATGCCTAACAAATACTCTAGATGAGATTTGAAGAGGTAAAATTTCATTTCCTGCCAAATGATGAACTTTATTTTAGATAGCCAATCAATCAGCAAGTAGTTGCTGCCTGCCATGTTCTCAGTAGGCATGTATTCCTGATGTACTGATTATATTCTTCTGATTTCTTTTATTCTGAGATTTAGATTCTGAAATAGACAGCAGGTAAGCCTCTGGCCTGCTTCAGTTACTTTGGGAAGGTTTTTTTTTCTTTTTTTTTTTTTCCCTTTTCTTTTCTTTTTCTGTTATTAGCATGTGGAAACTATTTTTAAGAAATCGGTTCTGACTCCCTCCTACTCCTTCACCGGGATTCTGTGGATTTTAGAGAGACAAAAGCTTTCAGATTCTGAAGATTTTATGGATTCAATTTATAGTGAATTGTGGGTGCTGCAGATCTTTTTGTATATGTGTAAAATGGCATAGCAAGAATAGTAACATGTTACAAAACCTGTGAGATGTCCTCAGATTTCAAATGAACCTATCAGATAAGTTACTTGGAGTTATCAGATACGTTTTAAATAGATGAAACAGATTTTGTACCACCAAATTTTTCCTGTAGTGATGTAACTGTTTTTTTTTGTTGTTCTTGGCTTGAAAATAATTCCAATGTGTAGTTTCCCAGGGATTTTTGGTCATTAAATATTGCTTCTCCTTTTGCCTACTTCATTCTCTTTAGCAATTTTTAAGATTCTTGCAATTCATTACTTTTTGTTTGTTTGTTTTCTGTTAATTCTTACCTGAGGATATTTTTTCCCATTTATTTTTAGAAAGAGTGGAATGCAGGGAGAGAGGGGGAGAGAGAGAGGAGGGCAAGAGAAGAGAAAGAGAAACATTGATGTGAGAGAGACACAGCGATTGGCTGCCTTCTGCACGCACCCCCACCAGAGCCAAGGATCAAACTTGTAACCATTGGCATGGGCCAATGCTCTAACCATTTATCACTGGCTAGGACTGTAATTCAGTACTTTTTGAAATTATAATTTTTGTAAATTGTTGTGCAATATAAACCCATTATTACTTGATAGTTATACTTTATTATATATGCATTCAAAGAAAAATATGTTCACAAGTCAACTCTTATGCCAATATATGGAAACAAGAATGAAACTGGGCATTTGGTGGCATTAAGGAAAGTGAGGTGATAATATTAGTCTTCAGTGTGATGGTTAGTGAGCTTATGTGGATTTAGGGACAATACGTACTCATTGCTCCCAATATAATAAAATAACACAATAATTTAGAGATAGGCTCAGAAATCACACTGATCAAAGTGGAATCTCATTTCCTGTTTTACTGTGGTGAAATTACTTAGTTTCTCTGAGCTTTTATCCTCAATTATAAAATTGATGTTGTTGATTAAAGGAGATGTGTTCATTCATCCAAATTTTGTTGTGTAATTACTATTCTTCTAGGTGTTAGGCATATAACAAATGAAGAAGTGAGAAGTTGTTTTCATAGTGGCTTGAAATAGTCATTACACAAACAATCACATAGATAATTTAATCGCTGTTAAGACAAATGATAGGAAGTAAAACTAAGAGTGTAATGGGACTCTACATTTCCATGTAGGGATCACAGGATCCAGTCTTTGAAGAAAAGTAATGTAAGCTGATAGCTGAAGGATAAATAAGAGTAGTCTGGAGAAGGGGAACTGTGGAGATTCAGAGAGGAAGAGTAACAAAGGCAAGTGAAATAGCATGAACAGAAATTCTGGTATAAGCATGGCTCATTTGAGAAAAAGGAAGAAATCAAGAATAGTGGAAGTATACGGGTTGTGATATGAAATGAAGCAAATGAAGAAATCAGGGACCAGGTTACATGCTAGGTCATATTTATATAAAGTAATAAAAAATTGTCATTATACAGAGATATATTAGGGTGGGCAGAATAATGGTCCCTCAAATATGTTCACATCCTAATCCTGGAAACTGGAGAATATGTCATGTTACAGGTCAGTGTGGAATTAAGGTTGCCCATAGGATTAAGATTGCTAACCAGCTGACGTTAGGATAAGGAAACAGGAATATTTAGGTGGGTACTAGGTAATCACAAAGATCCTTTAAATCTGGAAGAGGAGCTAGAAGAGGGATGTAATCAGAAAATGACTACACCTGACATTGCTGGCTTTGAAGATATAAGTGGGCAGTCTGAGAAGATGGGAAAGACAAGAAGATGGATTTCCCCTTAGAGTGTCCAGAAGGAACACAGCACTGCTGAACACCTTGATTTTAGCCCAGTGAGATTCACTTTAAACTTCTGATCTCCAGAACTGTGAGATAAGTGCGTATTGATTTGAGCCACTAAGTTTGTGGTAATTTGTTATGGTAGTAATTGGAAGCCAGTACAGATTTTGATACATGGAAATGGGGCAGCTATAAGAAGTAGCTAAAAATGTGTAAGTGGCTTGGAGTTTGGACATTTGGCATAGGCTAAAACAATTTTGCAGAGTATGATAGAAAAAGCCTATATTTGTGAAATAGATTCTTAATAGAAAAATATGGATATTGGCAGACTCAGAAGAAAATGAAGAGTATGGTAGAGAAAAAATGAAGTCACCTTAGAGAATACCTAAATTATCATGAACAGATTATTGGTAGAAATATGAACATTA